AGGCGGGCTGTGTTCAGGGGGCTGGGTGCAGTCGTGCTGTGGAGGCATGGAGACACACCCTAGGAGGTGGGGGGAAACGTGACCACGTGCGGGGTCTTGTCTTCAAGGAGCACACGTGACCACCACAGGGCCACACCCTGCAAACCAAAGTTGTGGCTGCCGGGCACGTGGGGTGTGGGAAAGGACCGGTGGGGCGTGGGGGTGCGGGAAGGAGTGGCTCCTTGCACTAGGGTCCCCACACGGGCCGGGTGTGCGCGTGTCTGGGCAGCCGGCGGGGCCATCCCGCCCTCCCGAGGGGTCAGTCAGGATGTAGGGGGGAGGCGTTCCAGCGGGATCTGTCCTGTGAGTTGGTGGGTTCAGAAAGCCCGTGTCCACGGTAGCGGAGGGGAGGACTGAGCCGTGAAGTAGGCGATGACTTTTTACAAGGGGACGAGGGGAGCTCCCTGCTCCAGAAGGTAGGTCAGGGGAGAGCCTGTGTGCCGAGGAGCTGCCATGTGACCTGTGGGGGGAGGGCTGGAGCAGATGGGGCCGGAGTCTGCCATGCCGCCTGCCTCAGATTCACGGGCCAACGACAGGTCTGGGCGACCAGCGGAGAGCCCGAGGTGCAGGGGATCACGGCCCCGACCCAGAGCTGAGCTCGGGGGCTGATGCCGGCTGCAGCCCAGGTGCTCCGTGGGCAATGGGGCCCAGCCGTCGCCCTGTTTCCCGCAGTGGTAGAACCCAGTGCTGCCGACCACGGGACCTGCAGCTCTGCTTTCGCCGGCTGGGAGGTGCACACACGGGGCATTGGCTCCAGACTCCTTGCCAAGATGGGCTACGAGTTTGGCAAGGGTGAGTATGTGCTGCACTGGGGCGGCGGGTGTCACAGCGCAGCTCAGGGGTCCCGCGGCAGTAGCGCTAGCCCTGTGTGCCCCCAGGTTTGGGCCGACATGCAGAGGGCCGGGTAGAGCCCATCCATGCCGTGGTGCTGCCTCGGGGGAAGTCGCTGGACCAGTGCGCAGAGATTCTGCACAAGAGGACGAAGGGCAGCAAGGCTGGCGTCCAGAGGCCCCCGAAATGCCCGCGGAGAGGGGGTGGACGCCCTCCCCCTCGTAGCGTGTTTGACTTTCTGAACGAGAAGCTACAGAGCCGGGCTCCTGCGACCCTGGAGGCGGGGGTGGCCTCCCCAGGGAGGAGGGGCAGTAAGGAAACGTACCACGCCAGCAAGAGTGCCAAGCGGGCCCTGAGCCTGCGGCTCTTCCAGACTGAGAAGAAGATCGAGCAAGCCCAGCGGGACATCCGGGGCATCCAGAAGGCCCTTGCCCGCAACACCGGCCGGTACGTGGGGGCCAAAGTCAGGGCAGAGGGCCGCCCCAGGGTGGAGATGCCTTCGGCCCACAGCTCACACGCAGGAGCCTGCTCTGACCCGAGGGTGGTGGCTGTCTGAGGAGGGTCCGGATGACGGGAGGAGGACGGGCAGTGGCCACGGTGCTGTGGGGGCTCGGTGGCCGTGGCCCAGCAGCCGATCCTGAATGGCAGGCTCCTCTCTAGGCACAGTGTGACGGCAGCCCAGCTGCAGGAGAGGCTGGCAGGAGCCCAGCGGGAGCTGGGGCAGCTCCAGGCCCAGGAGGCAGGCCTGCAGCTCGAGCAGAGGAAAGCAGACACCCACAAGAAGATGACGGAGTTCTAGAAACCCCGGGCACACACAGCGGACAGAGCTCAGGGACCCCAGCTCCTGGCTGCCTTCTGGAAGACCAGCCGTCACCCAGCAACCGGATGCCGCTGGGAGAGGGGCCGGCCTGCTGCCAGGCCAGCCCCCACAGTCAGCCTTCTCGCTGGCCTAGGGCACGTGGACGCTGCTGAATGGAGACGGCCCTGCAGGGCTCACTTCTGGACACTTGCCTGCCCGTTGGGCCCACCTGCCAGTGTCTTAGGGAGTCTCTTTAGCAAGGACATTAAAGTGTTGTGTTGTGGTGTCTTTCAGGCTTGTGAGGTTTTTGGGGATAAAGGGATCTCTGCACAGGGCCGTGGGTCCGGGCTAGGGGGTCCTGAGTGAGGCTGTTGCCCCCTGTCCAGAGGCAGAGGGCCCAGAGGGCTGGCATTCTCGTCGTTCTCTGGGATGGGGTTCTGCCAGCTGGTCTGAGGGGGGTCAGAGTGCCCCCCCGTTGCCCGACACCCACTAATGTGTGGGGCCTGAGGCCACAGCATCAAGGAGAAGGTTGCGGCTGGTGAGGGGCCCTTGGGAGGCACTGCTAATGAAGCAGAAGGCTCTGGCGGGGTGGGTTGGAAGTCTGAGAGGCAGCGTTCAGCCCAGGGCTTGGTGGCCACGAGACCGCCCAGTTCCCGTGCTGTGCCTGTCACCTCACCAGCGCAGGCCCACCTCCTCGTGGGTGGAGACCACGTGAGTTAGGCTGCTGGAGCAGGTGCTGGCTTGCTGCACGCACCCACCAAGTAGTGTCTAGATCCCACACGGGGGCTACGGCAGGAGCAGCGGCAGCAGAGGGTTGAGCGGCTGCGTGTCGAGATGTGGGGAGATGTGGGGAGATGTGCTGGCAGGAAGTGGGGTGGGGAGCTCCGCTGAGGTCTGCACAAGGGCACCTCTGAAGGTGCCCAAGCCACTGGGCCTGCTCCAGCCGGGGCCGAGGAGGAGCTACCGTGCGCAGGGCCTTGGTAAGTGCCTGTTCCCGGCCTCTAGCCCGACTGGGACCCCGGACCCCTTGGTGGCCTCCTGGGGGCAGCTGAGGGCTGGGGTCTGGGAGGACTAGGCCCTACCAGGTTGGGGCCCTGGGGCCAGGTTAGCCAGCCTGGACCCTCTTGCGAGGTGAGCCCACTCCCTGGGTCTGGGCAGACTGGTCCCCATCTCCAGAGACACCCCACCCCCTGTCTCTGTGCTACGAAGGGTTGTGCTGACTGCGGGATAGAGCTGCACCCCAGCAGCTCTAGGATCCCAGGAAGCAGACAGATCCGATGACCGGGACAGTCGGAAGGGAGAGAGAGAGCCAAGGGAGAAATGGGGTGGGGTTGGTCAGGGGCCAAAGCAACTTCCCCCTGCCTGCTGCCCCCTCCCCTGCCTTTCCAGCCTTTCAGGGGGCCAAGCTCTGCAGTAGATGGCTAGGGGGGCATCCCCTGCGTCTGTGGCCTGTGCCTTGGAGGGCCAAAGGTGTGACCTCAGGGCCTCCCCGGGTCCCAGGCTTAGCCTACGGTGAGCAGAGCAGGCCCTTGGCTTGGTCGCAGCTCCCCCGCCCCTCCTCACTGGCCATGTTCAGCTACCACTTGGGTCATCCACACCGACTTAGGTACTCGTGAGGCCGAGCAGAGCACACCTCCTCGCATGTCACCAGGGCCCCCCAGCCAGAGTTAGGAAGGTGGCTGCTGGGGCTCCGTCCTCCATGCTTCTGCAGGAAGGAGGGGCTGTGGAGTCTTGGGGTTTCCTGTGTGCTGAGTCAGAGCACCCAAGGGGGAGGGGACTGCCCAGCAGCTTGAGGTGCAAAAGTAGGTAGGGCTCCCAGGTATGTGCCCGTTCCGTCAGTCAGCCCCCAGCATCCCTGTCTTCTTGCCCCAGGCCTAGCTGTGGCTTCACAGGATGGGGCCACAGGTGCCCTCGGCCCCTCCTGTCCTCTGGGTCCTAGGGTGCCTTGCCTTGTTCCTCTGGCTGTGGACACTGTGCACAGCCTGCCACAGGTATGTTCATCCCTGGCCCGGGTTTGGTGTGGGGTAGGGCTCCAGGCGGGTCTGGCTCTGCACGAGCCTCCCTACTAGACCCTGGGCCAGAGGCTGGCACCTCAGTCCCCAGTCTCTGCCTCCCTGGCCTGATGAGCCCCTTGCCCCTAGGAAGCGGGTGCAGAGGTCGCGGGCCGGGCCCCAGGGCTGTGTGATGCCAGTGGAAGTGGTGAGTGCCGGGTTGTCCCCGGGGCCAGGGTGGGGCCAACACAGGACCCACCAGCCTTCCTTGTCCCCAGTCACTGCTGAGACAACACCGCCTCTGCTCCCTCAGCAAGTCAGACACCAGACTGCATGAGCTGCACCGGGGCCCAAAAAGCTGCAGGGGTGAGCCAAGCCGGGAGAGGCGGACAGGGCTGCGGGGGGGTGGGGCTTGCATCCTTAGGCTG